TGTGTGTGTGTGTGTGTGTGTGTGTGTGTGTGTGTGTGTGGAAGTCCGCGGATTGGTCCAAACGTAACGGCTCCACGGACGTTACATTACGTCACTATACCCAAATACATCACTATACCCAAGAAGTAAACGATGGAAAAAGAGAAATCTCCAACGAGGCGTTCTGGGGCAGCAAAGACAGGTATTTTCTGTGTTAGAGTTTTACTCACTACAGGGTGTACTTTGAGGGTTTGTGACTCTGCAGACCGTTGACATGCATAAAAAGCTACATAACACACAAGGGGACGGGTAATAACCAGAAAAGAATGACATGGGACCTTTAACATGAAACATTCAATTAAAGTCAACGTTTCAGTTTTTCAGTCTCTGAGATGAAATCAAATTAGACAGTACAAGTTAAATGAGACTCAAATACCAAAAAGTTATATAAAAATAGAAGGCAATACCATTTAAAGATCCTAATGGTTGGGGAAACCAAAGATAAGGGTTGCCATTCAGTGTTTTTCTGCAAATAACAACAACAACTCTTCCAAAGTAACTTTGAATTACTGTTGCCGTTAACACTTACTGTCAACTTAGCATTGTTCTGCTAAATGATAGCAGAGGATAATCACTGTGATGGTACATAATTTTTTTTTAATATGGAAAAATGTGTGGCTCTGTACATATTGTAGGTGGTAGCTGTGAGAAAATGAATAGAAATACTCACTAATAGACTAATTAAGTATTCTCAAATATAAATGAGTAAAGCAGTCCTTTCTGGTGCTCTTCAGTGTGAGAGGCAGTCCTGCATGATGATCATTCATTGAATTGCCCTCTTGAGCAGTTTCAGTTGCAGCGCTACATTAACATACCTACATCTTCCTCGTTATAACTTCATATAAACCGCTCAGCCAGGTATTACATGTCTCATGTAACAAAATGCATTTGTTTTCCTGTTCGTGCCCGTTCACCTTTATCTGAAATTCTACAATTGCACTCAAGCTAATGACAAACAAGCGTTTAGCTGTACAGCAACTTTCAGAGGACAGAGCACCACCTTCTTGGCTACACAGAAAAAACTTGAAATCCTGCCAAGTATATTGGTCTAATTTCTAGTGAGAATATGTCTCACCACTTGATATAAGACATAATAAATTAAGAGATAACAATGCAGTGAGATATAGGGTCTTTTTTTTTTTACTCTTGAAAACATCTTATTTTGAGTTGGATCTGAGATTAAACAAATTTGTTTAAGCTTCTGTGGTATTTGTAAAAGATGGATCATCCTGTATCAATAAATAAATGACTTGATTCTAGAAAACACATTTTTATTTGAAAATCAGAAAAGAGAACACTTCTGAGCAGTTCTGGCTCATGTTGTAAAACAACATTCCCTTATTCTGGTCAAATATAGCTCAAACAAGGTTTTCTCAGCTAATTACAATACCTGATTCATCTAAATATCCCATCTAATTTCAAGAAATCATACCAAGCAAGTTTTCACTTGTTCTATTGGCAGATTTTATTACAATCGAAAAAACCTTGTTTTGTTATTCTTTTACTTGATTTTGGAGCAGTATCCAGTGTAAGGCATGCTAGTAATGATATCTAATGCAGTGCGGTGATACTCTGTAGCAGCAGACACTTCCTCTGTGGTATGTTACAGAGCTGGCAGGTGATCAGACACAGAGGGGAGAGAGCAGCCATGTTTTCAGGATTCATCTAAAATGGCGCTCATATGTACTGGTCATGGGCCAGGAAAATCAAAGGGTTATGAGAGGAGAGGAACTGGGAAGGGTTCCCAGAAATGTCCCTGGTTGATGAGCTCAGTGTTCCAATGTTTCAATATTGGATTTCAAGCGGCTGACTCCAGATCAGTGGCTGTTTGATGTGCGCTGTAACGCTGCGCTGTAGGCCTCGCTGAACAACACCCTGCTCTGCTGTACTGCTACAGACATTAATCTGGACTTTTTATCTTCCTAAAACCACATCAGGAAAAAAATGATGAAGCAGTCACTTTCTCTCCTCTGTGAGGCAAACAGGCTTTTAAAAATCACAATATGGGGGAAGTGGGGCTCCAATTACACCTCCTGTGCACAGAGAAGGGGGGAGAGATAGACAGAGAGACAAACACAGAGACTTGTATAGGGAGGGAGAGAGAGATAAAAGAGAGGAAAAAAATGTGAAAAGAAAATGAAAGAACGAGTGGCGGGGGTGGAGAAAGAGAGTGGAAGATCCGTGCGGCAGATAATGAAAAAAGGCTACCTGGTGGCAGAGTAATCCAGGGAACTGGCAGCCGTCCAGATTCAATAACAACATGAAAAGTGTGTGGGCTGGAGGGATGAAAGGATAGAAGAGGACGGGAGAGGTGATGCAACTGCATCTCAACACCATCCTGTAAGCCAAGGCCTCGTGATGATATATTCATGCAGAGCTGATGGGAGAGAACAAAATGAGCAAAAGACAGGAGGGGGGGAGGCAGAGAAGAGGAAGAGACGAGGAAAGTGAGAGGGGAGAAAAAACCAAAAGAGAAAGACATAGGAGGAGGAAGAAAGAAGAGGACGAGGAAAGAAAAAAGGAAAGGAAATAAAGAAAAAAAGTGAGGAGAGGAAACAAAAGGAGACAAGAGGAGAGGAGACAAGAGGAGACAAGAGGAGAGGAGAAAAGAGGAGAGAAAAGGAGACATGATCAGAGGAGAGGAGGAGAGAAGACGAGAGGGGATGGGAGGCTCGCCCCTGAAGGATCAGATGAAGGCCTGTTTCCCAACCTGCTGTCTGTGATCACCCTGTAGTTACTGTGCGGCTGCAGTACCTTGCTCTGCGGCTCGGTGCTCTGCGGCTCGGTGCTCTGCGGCTCGGTGCTCTGCGGCTTGGTGCTCAGGTTCTCTGGTTTCTCCCAGCAGCGGGTGGACAGGTTGAGGATGGCGGTGGCAGCCATGTGAGCCGCCTCGGCATCATGGGAGTAGTCATAGGCCAACGAGGAGCTCTTCCCGTAACCGTGGAAACTGAGGCTGGGTGACGGCGACTTGGGGAATGAGGGCTTAGCTGTGGGAGGGCAAAGGTCAACGTAAGATCAGTTGATGTTAAAAATAAACACAACAGACAAGTAGACAAAACATGCGAAGCTAGAACCAATAGCTTATTAGCTTAGCTTAATGAGTAAGTAGCCTGATCCGTCTGCAGTGGTGAATTAAAGGTGGGGTAGGTAAGTTTGAAAAACTGGCTCGAGATACACTTTTTGTTATATTCCATGGAATGCTCTTAACATCCCGATAGCAATGAATATATTAAGTGCTTTGGCCAAAAATCCATTAAAAAATGTAGTAGTACTGTAAAAAGCACGACCGATCATCTGAGCCGGCCCGGCTAAAGTAACTTGACGGCCTACCTGCCTATCAGCCTTCCATCTGTGCACAAACTTATCTCGTGCCCTCATTGGTATGTGCGTGTTTGTGTGTGTTGGAGGAGGGGCTCTGTAAGGAAGTGGCAGATTTGTTCCGGTTGTGTATTTTCAAATTCTAGCGCACTCGAGCTGGTTTCTCCAAAATGACCTACCCCACCTTTAAGTACATTTACCTAAGTACCATTTTGAGGTAATAATTTACTCACGTGATGCTACTTTATACTTTTACTTTACTTTGGAGGTTATTTTTTTACTTTTTACTCCAATACATTCATTTTACAGCTTTAGTTACAAGCCACTTTGAAATGCAGATATAAATGAATAGTACAGAATATAAATCAACCATAATAAATCATGTATTATTATCATGGGTTAAGCTAGCAGCAGTATGTCAAGTAATTTAAATAATCCCCAACTGTAACAAGTTGGGGATTGACAAATTGACAACATGCCTGAATAATTAGAATACAATAATGTAATATTTGATTTATTATGAAATGGGCTACACTGGAAAATGAGTACTTTTTGTACTTGAAGAACACTTTATTATGCCAATACTAGATCTGAGTACTTCTTCCACCACTCTCCGTCTGTGAATGGTTTGAAAACAAATGGACGGGGCTCTCCTACTTTTGAAGGCTTTGGGTGTCATATCGCTGCTGTGTATCTTTGGAGCCAGCATGCGCCTCCCGAACACCTGCGCGTCGAAGCTGGCGTAATCGAAGGACACCTTGGAGTACTTCTCCAGCTCCCGGGCCAGGTTGGCGCGGGGGGTGCTGGGCGCCATGTCGGGCCGGTAGCTACCGTACTGAGGCACCTCCAGCTGCTTCACAAAGCACATAGGCCTGAGGGGAGGGAAGGGAGAGCGAGAGGATGTCAGGGTGGGGCTGGAGGTATAGAGGGGGGATTAAGGCAAAAATAAAGAAAGTCAAATAGAATAGATATGGGATAAAAATTAGGCAGTGACAAAAAAAAAAAATAAGCAAGGCAGAAAAAAGAGTGGGGAGAGAATGAGAGAGGGAGAGTGACACAGAGAGAGTAAAGATAGGGCCACGGTGTACTTAGCAGGAGTGCAGCAGGATTAAAAGCTCTCTTATCAGCAGAGGGCACATTTGCATGTTGTACAGCATGGAATTTATGAGCTTTAAGCCCTCTCGTTTTCCTAGAGAGCCTGCGCTTTTGTTAGACCTGTTGGCATAAATCCACTTATAGACCAGGGAGAGGCAGGGGGGGGGGGAGAGAGGTCCTCCGCCCACTTTTTGCCCAGCCCTTTTCCCTCCTCCTCTGCATCATGTCTGAGTCCCTGTGCTAGTACATGACCCGGCCTGCAGTCATTCTGCTCACATCTGAGGAGGGTTTTCATGACAGTAAAAAAAACGTCCTACCACCGATCACAGGGGATTTACTCCCCCTTTTTATTTATTCAACATTAGAGCACGGATTGCATGAGGAATTCTTCACATAACACACATTCTTAGCTCATTCTGCTTACAATCTGAGGAGGGAAAACAAAGCAAGCCTTATTATGTTTTAATCCTCTGCTTTTGTCCAACCACTGATGAGCTTTTCCTTAAGGAAAGCAATTATTTCTCCTTTCCCCCCGCAGTGCCCCTGTAACTTGCATAATTAGCTTATCGGCGGCATTATTAATTACAATACCAATGAGGAGGAGCATGGACTTAGCATAATACCAGTGTCTGCTTGTGTTAATTATCATTCTTCTGGCCGGGAACTGGGCGCTGACCGCTCAGAGATTAATGAAGATAAAGAGATGTCAGTGTTGGGGACAGTAATGATCGCAGCGGCATGCTGAATGCTCCAACACCTCCTGTCTGTATCCAGCCACTCACACACAGCTCTACCTCTGAGGAACAAGGTCAGCAGGTCTGAGATCTGTCTGAGTTCAGGAGGAACAGCCTGAGAGGGACTCCACTGTGGGAGAGCTTTTATATAGTGATCTATCTCAGTCTGGGGATAGATGTGATGCCTCATCTTTAGTTGAGTTGAGTTGGTTTCATTTGAACTAATACAAATCAAATACACATATACAAAATGTATTTGTAACTATTTGACTTCCTTATTTAATCAGTAGTATATTATATGTTGGGTTGTTGGGACTTACTACACTATAGCTTTTGTACGTATTAAAATAAAACATTTGAATCTTAAATAACAAAATAAGTTGGTACTTTTGAAGTGACCAACCTTAGCGAGTATATACTGACTGGAAAGGTGTAGACTTTTTTAAAAGTACCCCTTTTAACATTTATTATTTCTTATAATTCACATTGAATGTATACACAAAAAATGTAGTTAATGTTGAATTACTATCATTTGGAACAGTCTAATTCTGAATACAGTCTGGAAGTATTTTATTTGTTATTGTATACATTCATTTTGCAGTTTTTTTACTCTATCAAGGTCTTTAATAAGAAAGACAACATGTGAGATTATAACTAATACGTTGGTTGGTTCATGATGATCGGCTTGCTTTACATCTTAGAGCTCTCCTCCCGGGGACCCATGCATTTCTTATTTAGTCAAGCGGATATCTTAAAAGGAAATATTTAAAGTATATGATAAAATATTTTGTGAACCCCACCTTAGCACCCTGTCGTTGGGACTTCCTTTGAGCAGCTCGCTGCCGGGGGGGGAGAGATGCTGCTTGTCGAGGCCCTTGGACAGCTTCTCTGCAGCGGCGATGGGGCATCCGGAGAGACTGCACGCAAAAATATGAATATCAAAAGGGGAGCATGTTGCTGACCATGTAAATCTGCATTGCACTGATGTGGACTGACACATTCCCTGTCCTGCATATATGAATATTTGAGCTTGCAAATGCACAAAGGGAATGCATGCCCTGTGCATAACACCCTCATCTGCAGAGTGTAGTCAAACACAATCAGTGTGATGTATGCATGTATGCATGGTTACCTGCGGTGTGTGTTTCTGTTGCTGTTAACGTGGCCCTGCCCGGTGCAGCCAGGTGTCGGACACTTCAGCACGTTCTCATGCATGGCCAGAACTGTGGAGAAATACACACACACACGCACGCACGCACGCACACACACACACACACACACACACACACACACACACACACACACACACACAAGGTTAGAGAAAATCCACAATTTCATCTAAACTCTTTTTACACGTAAGGCACTGTATGGAAATCATTTGGGGAAGGCAAGACACACCCCAGCATTATATTATTTTCCTTTGACTATGGCGAACATAAGTAAATGAATATGTAAGCTACTAATAATGAGATCGTTTAAAACTGTTATGTGTGAAATTGAATAACTGCACCAGACTGCAGCAGCTCAGTGGCTGTTGATAAAAAAAGTTTGCAAAGTTAAAATGTTATATATTCAAGTATATTGTGTATGTGGTCGCATTTTTGTTATTAAATGTAAAAAGTAGCAACAAACATGTTTGAGGACAGGTGTCTGGCTTTAGAGAACGAAACTAAACAAAGGGGCCTGTTTCCTCACAAACATAACATAAACGTATCCCCCCTTGAAGAGACAACTGTTTCCAGTAAGATATATTATTCTCACTTCCCTAACCCCTCCTTTCAGTTTAGTACAGTCCCTTAGAATGAAAACTAGCAGCAATCCTTTGTCAGAAAATAGCAGGGAACTGCACATGTAATGTACTTGTAGTCATAGCTACAGTAAAATGGCCTCTGATATGTATGTAAGACATGTCTCTACAGTCAGACGGACAGAAACACACCACGATTCCGTGTGGACGCTGCGTTAGAGAAACGCGGATTTTGGGTCCTTAGCTTGAAAAAAGAAGAAGAGAGGAGGCGGAGCTAATGCCTGATCAGAATTCTACCGGAGATAAAGTTAAATTCTGCTGTGATAAAACGCCATCCTGTTCTAAACCACTTTAAGGATTATTTCTGAAACAGTATGGAGCTCAAATGCATTTTCTCTTGCGGGTTTATCACCAGGTGAGTTCCTTTTTTTATTTCCTGGTTTTTAAACAAATGTGCTCTACAGTACAGGTTAGCTCTGAGTGTTAGCAAGGCTTGCTAATGTAAACAAAGACGAGATTACGTACAAAGCACGTCAGGCATTGTTTCTGATAGCAACTTTCTGTGGGTCCGCTGCCGATCTGACGTCATATTGGCAGCAAATCTGTATCTGCTCATTGTACCCCCTTTTTTAAAAGATTTGGGTACGGAGGAAAAGAGAAAGGGTTTTATTTTCTGACGCTGCGTGAGTTCGCCCGACCCAACGCCGGGACCCACATATTACCTGTATAGAAGACATCACAGAAGTGCATTTTGCATGATAGGTCCCCTTTAAATAAAAAATAATGGGGTCAATTTAAGATTATTGCTTTCAACTAACCTAATACAGTGATGTGAATTGTTTTGACATAATATATTTAATTCAAGTCAACGTTTCAGTTTTTAAGCGTATATTTACAGAAACCAGCCAGTAAACTAAATCAAAATGTCTGTTTAGAATGTTCTTACCTGTGTACCTTTATCTTTTACATGGTGGTTTCTATGTTTCTGTGTATGTTAGAGAGTGAATAGCTTGAGACATTTAGGGGACACTGATGAAATGAGGAGTAGTGGTTTTACAGTGCTTGATGTGTCACTCCAGTGTGAGGGAGGGTGTGTGTTTCTCTCTGTCCCTGCCTTTTGTTGTCACTTTTTGTGAAGAACACTCACTCTCGGGGGGGATCCTGTCCTTGTGCGGACAGCCTGACAGGCTGCGGTGGTGGGGGTACAGACCGGTCACATGACCCGTCCCATCACACCCTGGGGTGGGACACTTGATCTCCCTCTTCTCCTGCCTACTGCTCTCTGGATAGAGGAAGAAAGGAGAGGAAACAAGGAGGGGATCAAAGGAGGAGAGGTAACAAGGGAGGAGAGGAAAGGAGGAGAGGAAGCATAAGAGAAAGGAAACAAGGGAGGAGAGGAAAGAGCCTATAGTTAAAGATGGTTGCAGATTACCCATGACCTACATTTGATTGTTTTTATGTATTTATAGGCTATTCTTGATTTTACATTCTATCTTGTCTTTTTTATTTTCTTGTAGTTTTTTTTCTTTTTCTTTAAGTACTTTCATTCATGTTTGTTAATCTGTAAAACCCACTAAGACGAACGTGTTTTGTGATATTGGGCTATATAAATAAAGTTTGATTTGATTTGACCTTTTCTCAGACCTTGTTCGGACAAAACAACACCTGAAGACACATGAGGAGGATATCATGCCCCATGATTTAAAGTATCCTCTACTGGAGGTAGGCGAGCCAGCATCGGTGTCACTGGAGAGAAAAAGCAGCGAGAGGAGGGCGTGCTGCTCTATTGGCCTTCAAATTGAATGTTAAAGAGACACGCATCTCCTAATTAACGCGGAGCAGAAAAGGAACGTCACCGCAGGAGGGAGTGGAGGCCAAGGAGAGGGCAGCACCAGCAGCCATGTAATCACACTACTGTTGAACTGAGAGGAGCGTGACAAGTGGGCGCCATGCCAACTGGTAAACACATGCACCCTGTAAACAAACAGTGTGTAACCTGCATATACACATATTTAGGTCTGGTCCTACACTATATTATTCAAATATAGCATGATAGGTCCACTTTAAAGGTGGGACTAGAGTGTGCAATGACAACATATATGAGGGGCCGTGTAGGCCAAAATTCAAACTAACCTCGCACACACACTACTGAAAACATCTGGTCTTGCACACACTCTACTGAAATAGTCTCACATTGAACACCTCACACACACAAAACTGAAAATTAACCTCACACACACACAACTGAAAATTAACCTCACACACACACTATTGAAATACTCTCACATTCACTAGTGCAGTGGTTCCCAACCTTTTTTTTACCAAGGCACCCCTGAAAATATTTCTCGACCCCAAGGCACCCCAACTTTTTATAGATTTAAAAACCACTTCAGAGCTTAAACTAAAAACCATAAATACACCATAAATTGGTTTTCAAATGTGTATTTAATTGAATAGAACATTTTGTATAACAAATAATGTATTCACACATAATAACAAGAACCAGACTAAACTAAATGTCAACACCATTTCTATGATGAATTCAATATTATAAACAGGCCTACTAAGTAGGCTCTTTTGTTTTGGCTGAAAATAGTAGGCCTACCTGTGTAAAAACACAAATACATATCAATACAGTTATTATTTTACATTTGGATTTCAAAAGAGGCAGGCCTATGATCACTTAGATTAAATAATAACTTAATAGAATTGGAGGGATGAAACAATGCCCTCTGGCCTGACTGTGGTCATGTGACTCATCAACCACATCCCAAATATGAAACATTCTGCATTTCGCTATCCAGATAATACTGATTGACAAAATCATAAATCATACATTTATAAGAAAGGCACACAAATTAACATCCAAACATAAACATTTCTCAGACCGTTACACGGTGCTAGTGCGACACTTGTGCCTG